ACCATCAGGAGTAAACCTGATCACCACTGGGTGTGACCCCCCCCCCAAAGCCTCAAACAAAAAACTGGACATTTTTGGTTAGTATATACTGATGTTGGTTTATAATGGTAAATACATGAAATGTAATATTGTGATGCAGCATTATTAGTATAAGAATACTCTGAAAGAAAAAACAAATCCTATTCTACTGTGAATTCTTTCATTGCACTTTGAGGATCATGATTTCTTTAACTGGGAAGGGAATATTTTACTGAGCCTGAAGTGAGAATGGGTTCCCAGAAGTATTTTGAGGGCATGTGATAGACTTAAAGCTAGCACGCATTCTTCCAAATCACAATTCTCTTTGTTCTTTGAACTATTCTAATTTGTCTTCAGATTAGCTAGTCTCTCCTTGAGTTAATTTTCTACCCATTATCATAGTCCTAAGAATTTTTCAGAGGGGAAGAGCAGTATTACATGGGATATGGCACTTGTCTTGCATGCGGCCACTCTAGGTTTGATCCCTGGCATCCCATATAGCCCCCAAGCCCTCCCAGGAGTGATCCCTGAGAGCAGAGCCAGGAGTAAGCCCCGAGTACCAATGGGTGTGCCCTCCCCCCCCCACACACACACCTTTTTTTTTTTTTCAGAGTATGTACCATTCTAAGAAAATAGTTTCATTCTAATTGTCAAAATTTCTAACCCCACAGGGGTTATAAATTTGAAGTATTGTAATTTTTACTGGGAAGTACAGACTATATGTTGTTTTTTTTTTCCCAGTTTGGATTTCTCTGGTAAAACACAAGGACAAACTGTCATTTTGTCAAAAACATTTTTTTTTTTACTGCTCTAAAGGGTTACTGCTTACCTAGTCAAAATAAGGTTTGTGCATGCTCTATTTGGGTCTAAAATTGGAAATTGAATATTATATCAAATGATCGGAACAATAGTAAGTTCTTTTAGGGTAAGTTGGGTCATTATTTTAGGGCACCTTGATTTTGGGGAATTGCTGAAGCTTTCTGAGCAGGGGAGTTCCATGATCAAAGAAGCACTTCAGGAGAATTAGTTTGCCCACAGATTTTAGAAATGTCTCCAGACTGACTTGGCACCAGCCCTGACTTGTAATAGGGTTCCTAGTCACTTGTTATGGGAATGGTGGAAAGCAGAAGGCCAGTCAAGAGGCTTTGTGCAACGTCTGGGAATTGGGAAATATAAAGCTGAGCACGAATGGTGACAGTGGGAATCAAGGGAAAGGGACGGGCGACTGAGAATATGTGAAGGAATAGACAAGCTCTAAGGCCTAGGAGGTTATGTTAGGAGAAAGCAGCATTTGTCCCAACGAAAACATGCAGTGGACAGTCGGTGGAAATGCTATCCGACATATGTGGATTTGAGGAATGATATTTGGCAGATGGGAGTTGAAATTTGAAACCTGGAGAAATAAAGAGAAAGCCGGAGAGAAGAAGCTGAATGCACTGGCTGGGCAAGGCCGCAGTGAGGCGTGATGGAGGCAGAGGTTACAGCAGCTGAGAAGGTGGGAAGAGAAAGAAGTTGTCACTGAAAGAAATTGAGGAAGGAGAAAATTTTCAAAATCAAGGGGATTGATGATCAGATGCTAATTGAAATGTCACGGAAGGTGAATGCTGAGAAAAGGAGTTACTGTACTTGTTGAGAACTCTTCAAGCCGGTGGGTTGAGAATATGCACAGAAGTTGGAGGAAGGGGCCATAAATACTGTAACAAAACCCATTAATTGCCCTTTTAATTGGCTTAATTTCATACCATGCTTAGAAATTATATTTGTCATGGGGGGGTTGTGAGAGGTAGGGCACACCTGGCTGTCCTTAGTGCTTACTCCTGGCTCTGCTCGGGTCCCTCGTGGGGGGCTTGGAGTACCATATAGATGCCAGGAATCAAACCCCTGTCGACTGCACACAAGACTTACCCTTACCTTCTGTACTATCTCTCCTCCTGTAATTAAAATTTTTTTAAGGGGGGGAGAAAGTGTTATGACCAGAAATGGTTTCAGTAGAGAAAGGGCAGTGACAACTTACTCAAAGCGTATCCACGTTCTGTTTCTCATGATCAAAAAGTTTTGTTTTCTTTTGTCCTTTTTTTTTTTTAAATTTTATTGATTCACCGTGACATAGTTACAAGCTTTCATGTTTGGGTTACAGTCACACAATGATCAAACACCCATCCCTCCACCAGTGTACATTCCCTACCACCAATATTCCCTGTATACCCCCCTTTCCCACCCTCCCCCTGCCTCTATGGCAGACAATATTCCTCATACTCTTTCTCTACTTTTGGCCATTATGGTTTGCAATACAGACACTGAGAGGTTATTATTTTTGGTCCTTTATCTACTTTCAGCACACATCTCCCATCCCGACCGGTTCCTCAAGCCATCATTTTCTTAGTGATCTCTTCTCTATTCCAGCTTCCTTCTCCCCTTTGCTCATGAGGCAGACTTCCAGCTATAGAGCAGTCTTCCTGTCCTGTGTATATACTATCCTTAGGAGTCAGCCTCATGTTATGTTGTTTTATACTCCACAAAATGAGTGTAGTCCTTCTATGTCTGTCCCTCTCTTTCTGACTCATTTCACTTAGCATGATTCTCTCCATGTCTATCCATTTATAAGCAGATTTCATGACTTCATCTCTCTTAACAGCTGCATAATATTCTATTGTGTAGATATACCAAAGTTTCTTTAACCAGTCATCTGTTCTAGGACACTTGGGTTGTTTCCAGATTTTGGCTATTGGGAACAGTGCTGCAATGAACATATGAACATATAGGTACAGATGTCATTTCTACTGGCTTTTTTGCATCCTCGGGATATATTTCCAGGAGTGGTATTGCGGGGTCATATGAAAGCTCAATTTCTAGTTTTTGAAGGACTATCCATATTGTTTTCCAGAAAGGCTGGACTAGTGGGCATTCCCACCAACAGTGAAAGAGCGTCCCCTTTTCCCCACATCCACTCCAGCACTGGTTCTGTTGTCCTTTTCTTCTTCTTCTTCTTCTTTTTTTTTTTTTTTTTTTTTTTTTTGGTAATCCTTTGAACTTGAAGGAGTTTGAATAAATTGCTCTTTCTAGAAAATGAGTAGCCTCGTCTGAGTTGACATGTTGAAATCCATTTAGTAATGTTATCTTGTATTGAAGGAACATATATATATAAATTTAGCACCTGAAAATAAAATGTACATAGATAACCATAATATAAATAGCAAGTAAGAAAAATAGCAAATAAGAAAAAGGACAAAGTGCTGTGGAAATTCAGAGTAGGAAACCTTATTTTTTTCCAGCTTTTTCCCTTTTTGTGGGAATAATATTTGGTGGAAAGAGCCAAGGAGGGATGATGGTAGACGTGTTCGAGCTTGAAGAAACACTGTACCAAGTATTCAGTGGGGGTATTAACGGGGCCACTGGGCAGTTTTGTTTGGCTGAAGTGTGTGTGTAGCGGTGGTGGTGGGAGGGGGTGGTACATGATGAAAAGTTAGGGAAGTAATAATGGAAAGTTAGAGCCAGAATTTAGAAGATGGCTATAGTTTGAATTTTATTTGGAGGCTACAGAAAACCATGAAACATTTTTGAACAGAGGAATGATATTACCTAGTTGATAATTTAGAAAAATTGCTCTGGTGAAGGAAGCTTTAATAGAAAGCATGCAGCACACACATCATCAGTCAAAGAATGATAGCAGTAAAAGAAAGTTGTATCTCAGAATTGTTTAGGTTGGATTAGAAAGTGAGAAAGTAGAAGTAAGGAAACCATTGAGGGAGGAGCTTTATGCAGTATTTAAGACATGAGTAAACCACAATCCTCTTTTTGAAACAGTGATTAGTGTTAAGTAGTATTTTATTGGTTAAGTTCTTTTTGTTTTGCGCTTAAATAGAAAAAGGAGATTTAAGGTCATTAAGATGTCTTGCAAAACCCCAAGGCAGACAGTGTTGTATAACTGGATGCCAGAAATGTCTAGAATTCAGAGCTAAAAAGTTGTTGCTATGCCTGCCTTCCTGCTCCCACAATTCTGTTTTTCAGATCATTCAGTGGATTCTTTTCATTTGCAAACTATTTCATTAGTCTGAGCTGAATTTGGAAAGGTCCTGGTGGGGAGAAGGCAGAGACTGTGAGACGAATTCACCTTGCTTCATGGTTTCAGATTCTCAGGGATAGGACTTTGGTTTTATTGTGTTAGAAGATTAACTTATTTTTACCATTGCACGATTAGTGCCAATCAACTGTGGCCAAGGGATTATAAGTATACCGCGGGAATTTTATTTGTAGATTGGAGGGTTAGTTAAGAGAGGTTTATTATATGTTAGAAGGAAATCCAAAGAGTGTTTGCTACAATTTTGCACTTTGAATCCTCCTCCCACCCCCTTGTTGCTGCTGATACAATAACTGTGGATCATACATAGTTGTTTACAGTGCCCACATAAGGAGATGGACACATTGTTGTGGTTCTGAGGGTCCCAGACTGGGATTGGGCTCAGCATACTTTATGCCTGCCCCAGGCCCCTGCACTTGGAATTTTCAGCATTGTTTAATTTACTAGTTGAAAGATAGCAGCTATATTAATCCTGGAGAAGTGATAGGAAAATTGGGCAGAAAATTCACCCTGCAAGCAACAGAGTATGTTTAAGTTGATCCTTGACACAACCCGTAGTGCCATTGTGGGAATGTGGAGTATACTGAGAGGAGAAAGTAGTGCTGGTGTCTGGAAATGTTCAGCGTAGTGTCTACACTAGGTTTATGCGTGTGTCAAAATCCGTCAGTTTGTGTGCACATTATATATGTAAACACTACCACAATTTTTAAAAGCTAGGAACAATTATTGATTTACCTGCCTTTGTCATGTGATACTCAAAAAGCATTGAAAATCAAGATTCTAGATATGTCCTTGATGTTCATCTGAATTTTGAGTATTTCAGAAATGTAAATATAATGGATTTTTTAATAAAATAATTGTTCACTTCTCTCTGTCTCCCCACCCCCCAACACACATATTTTAGGAGCTGTGACTGATGAGAATTAAAGGCCATGGATGAAGATGGACTTGAATTGCAGCCTCAAGATCCAAACTCATTCTTTGATACAGGTATAACTTGGATTGTTTTGCTTCTCAGTTACTAAATTTAGAGTTGATGATCAGGTAGAAAAATTACTAGACTCTTCCCAATGATATTTACACTTAGGTATTTTATCGTGGAAAGCCTACATTTGTTAAAATTAGTGCATTATTCTCCTCTTAAAATTCTGTCTCTCTCACAACTAACTCTTGCATTCTTGTCAGTACTTTAGCAGTATCAAAATGTTCATTTTATCTTTAGTTATTCTCATCTTGTTATAACACTAAATCCTGTTAATTTTTCCCTTTGCAAATGTCCTCATTACATCTCTTCAGTCTATTTTCTATTACATAGAGACTATCATTTTTCATTCTGCAATAACTTTAAATTTTTGCCTTATGCTTACTTTCTTGCCTCTAGTCAAAGGTACTCCTGAACATAAAATTAACATGTGGATTATTTGATTTGTCTATTTTCCATTATAGGTATAAACCTAGGGCTCTCCACTTTCTGACCTCATCTTATTTTTACATCTCTGTCTCTTAGGAGTTGACAAAGGGAGCCTTTGGCTTCAGGAAGATGAAATCTTAACCTTACACCCCAAACTGTACAAGGGAAATTAAATTCATGAAATTCTAATATTAGAAAAACATATGTAAACTTATGGGTTACCGGGGCTGGAGCAGTATTAAAGTGGGTAGTTTGCCTTGCACACTGCTCAGTTCCCTGACACTCCATATCATCTCCTGAGCCTGCCTAGATCAGTCCCTGAGTGCAGAACTAGGAGTAAGCCCTAGGGTCCAAAACCCAAAAAATAAATAAAATTTTGGGTTAGCCATTGTTCCATTCATAAAACATCATAAAGTGGTTACACTAGATTTTATAATGTAAGCCATTGTTTTATATACACTAGCTGCCTACCCTTAGAAATGGAGAATGGGCACCGGTGGAGGGATGGGTACTCGATCGTTGTATAACTGAAACCCAAGCACGAAAGTTTGATAAGTCTACAACTGTACCTCATGGTGTTTCACTAATAATAATAAAAAAATGTCAATGAGTTTTCCATTGGACTTGAAATATTTTTGTGTGTATATGAGGTGCCAGGGGCTGGAGCGATAGCACAGCGGGTAGGGCATTTGCCTTGTGCGTAGCCGGCCCGGCCGAGTCGGGGTCAATTCCTCCACCCCTCTACCAAGAGTTTCTCTCCTGTACGGCAAAGCCTGGCAAGCTACCCGTGACGTATTCAATAAGCCAAACACAATAACAAGTCTCATGATGGAGATGTTACTGGGCCCGCTCAAGCAAATAGATGAACAGTGGGAGGACAGTGACAGTGATGAGGTACCAGGGAACGAAACAGGTTGGTAGCGTGCAAGGCAAGCACCCTACCCACTGTAACTATTGTTTTGGTCCCAAGGTTTCTTATATTTTGTCAGGTTCTTTGGCTCTTCTTGATCATTTGTAATTCTTTGGCATTTGTTGATCATTTGTGTTTATTAAACGAAGCCAGGGCCTGACCATTGATACATAGAGTTAGGCAGCTGCTTCAACTTGGCCTGTTTTGAGTCATATCTAGAAGTATTAACTGAAGAGCATTTTAGGTAAGACTGTTATAAAATTTATTTGCTTTTTTTTCTGGACCAGGCGCCAGGATAATGGAATTACCTGGTTTTATCTTTCACTTTGGAAAGGATATCTGGTTTTGATTCCCATTTGGGATGTTAATTCAGAGTAATATTTAATCAGCAGCATAATCTATAGAAATTACGTGATCTTTGTGAAGACATTCGATCTCAACTTGGCTTTAACAGATTCTTCCTTCTACCTTCATTCCTTAATCTCAGAGTGGATTACGGTAGGCTTTCTTATTCTAATGAACTGTCTGGGGAATTGGGGTATGAAGGAAGTTCAGGCGACGACTCACTGGAGGTAGAGTGCTCTCGTGAAGTTGGGGCAAACCTTGTTCCACTTTCCTCTTAGCCTTCACCACTTCGGAGCAACTGCACTTCTGCCATCTTATTCACAGAGGACCCATAACCAGTTGCCGGGCTTCTTTTCTGTGGCCTTCTGGCCCTCTTTTCAGTTATGCTCTGATACTTTGGTATCTTAGATTCAGAGGGTAACTTTTAAGTTTCTATATTTGGTGAAACAGTGTATCAGTACAAAGAAGAAAGAATGTGAAGGAAGATAGGGAAAAGATGGAAAGGGACTAAAGAAATGCATGGAAAAAATAGAATACTATTTGAGGAGAGATGGAAAAGAAGAGAAAGAATGAGAAAGCCATATATAAAGGAAAATGCTACATTTGCCTCTTGAAGTTGCATTAGGAATTTTTATAAACATTATCCTAAGATACTTAATGGGTTTAATTTTAATGAGTTCAAAATTTTACTTCAGTTAATATTTTTCTTTTGTGACTGCCTCCGTTACTTTGTTTTTGTCTCATGTTAATAGATTGGGATGAGTAGAAAAGTTCTTGTATGTTCTTTATATCTTTGTTTTGATATTTGAGAAAACTGATATTTGAAAACAAATTTCTTGGTAGAAATTCAATGACCTCTTGATTGGATTGTGCATGCCTACCTGAAACTTGTGATTTTAATTTTTTTCCCCCTAAGGAGCTGATGCAACACACATGGATGGTGATCAGATTGTTGTGGAAGTACAAGAAACTGTTTTTGTTTCAGATGTTGTGGATTCAGATATAACTGTGCATAACTTTGCTCCTGATGACCCAGACTCAGTTGTAATCCAAGATGTTATTGAGGACGTTGTTATAGAAGATGTTCAGTGCCCAGATATCATGGAAGAAGCAGATGTATCTGAAACAGTCATCATTCCTGAGCAAGTGCTGGACTCAGATGTAACTGAAGAAGTTTCTTTAGCACATTGCACAGTCCCAGATGATGTTTTAGCTTCTGATATTACTTCAGCCTCAATGTCTATGCCAGAACATGTTTTGACAAGTGAATCTATACATGTGTCTGACGTTGGACACGTTGAACATGTGGTTCATGATAGTGTAGTAGAAGCAGAAATTGTCACTGATCCCTTGACAAGTGATGTGGTTTCAGAAGAAGTATTGGTAGCAGACTGTGCCTCTGAAGCTGTCATAGATGCCAATGGGATCCCTGTGGAACAGCAGGACGATGACAAAAGCAACTGTGAAGACTACCTTATGATTTCCTGTAAGTCAAGGGGTGCAGTGGTTATCAAGGGTATTTTGAAGGCTCTCTTTTCTAACTTAAATCAAGGGTGAAATTTTCTTGACTTCTATGAAGTTAAAGTCAATCTCATAACCCTACCTTTATTTGTTGTTTCAGTATGAAGCCTGTAAAATAACTCAATTTAAAAAAGTGATGTGGTTTTGTGGGTGTTGAGGAGAGCTGCTACAGTGAACAGGGTGCTTGGCTGCATGCTGCAGACCCAAAATACATAAGTAGCATAAAATGTACTTTTCTGAAACATCCACTATTGCAATAGCAAAAGTTGATGAATTGGTGATAATGGGTCAGGTTCTGCCTTAAAGAGCTGTGAGGAACAAAATCATTTGGGTGGCTCTCATATTAACATGCTCAATAAAGATCTCACTCTAGATTTTATTGGTATCACCATATCCTTTAACTAGAGCAGTTAGGAAGAAGATGAGCAGGAGAGGGCTTTTGCCTTGTATGCTACTGACCCAGGTTCAATCCCCAGCATCCCATATGGACCTTTGAGCCTTGTCAGGAGTGATCCCTGAGCACAAAGCCAGGAGTAAGCCTTGAGCACTACTGGGTGTGCCCCTTCTGCGCCCCATCCCCCTTGCCAGAAAGAAAAAGCAGAGTTAGGTATTCCCTCTTTTTTCTTTCTTTTTTTTTTTTTTTTTTTAAGACATTCCCTCTTGGGACTGGAGCAATAGCACAGCGGGTAGGGCATTTGCCTTGCATGCAACTGACCCCGGTCTGATTCCCAGCATCCCATATGGTCCCCTGAGCACCGCTAGGAGTAATTCCTGAGTGCAAAGCCAGGAGTAACCCCTGTGCATTGCCGGGTGTGACCCAAAAAGGGGGGGGGGGGGTGAGACATTCCCTCTTAATCCTAGATTCAACTTAGGTGTTGAAATAATTTGCTTTCTTTGGTAACAAGCTTTTTACGTTTACCTTGCAATTTAGTGGTTTTTAGTATATTTGCAAACTTGTGTTGTAACCGTTGTTAAATTTTAGAATGTTTCACTACCTTAAGGAGGTACCCTGTGCCCTTTAGCTATCTCTCTCATCAAAACCTTTCTGCTTAATTCTCATCATTACCTATTCTAGACATTTCATATAAATGAAGTCTTTTGTGACTGGCTTCTTCTGCTTCGCATAGTGTTTTCAAGGAGTCTCTCCTTATTGGGGTATACATTTTTGTATCATGTATTGCTCTACATAGTGTTGTTTCTACCTTTAAGTCTTAAGAATAATTGTAATATCAACATCTGGATAAAAGTTTTTTGGACATAAGTTTTCGTTGCTCTCGTATACATATGGGAGTGGAATTGCTGAGTCACATAGTAATTCTATGTTTAACTTTTTGAGTTAACTGCCAGGCAGTTTTCCAAAGTCAGATTTTGCACGATTTTGAATTTCCACTATGAAGGAATTTCCACTGTTTCCACTATGAAGGTTTTAGTGTTTATAGCTCTTGTAAATACTGGTTTTAAAAATTATTATTATATATCTCTGGATGTGAAGTGATATTTTTAATTCCCCCCCCCCAAAAGATTTAGTGTTTGGTAGTAATAGAAAGAGGTAATAGTAACTTTCAATGAATAGTATCTGTGTGCCAAAACTTAATATATATTATTTATTATAAATGATTTTCTTTACAACCTTTTGAAGCGAAGATTTGGAATCAAGTATGTTTTATTTCAGAGTCTCATTTTCCACTGTACTCTCTTTGTGTGTGTATGTATGTATGTACATAGAGTTGATCCCATAAAGCAGTAGAGTTTGGGTAATTTGTGCTTATTGGTGGGTAGAGTAAGTAAATAGAAATACACTGCTAAAATTTATGAAATTTTTGAATATCCAATTTCAATGTTAAGTTATTTGGTGTGGGTCAGCGCTTAAGCATTTTCTAGATTCATTATAGCAGATGCGCAGCCTCCAAGCCCTGTTGCATTGTTTTTCTGTGGTGTTGTAACATTGTATGACTGAAACCCGATCATGAACAGCTTTGTAACTGTATCTCACAGTGACTCAATTTTAAAAAAAGAAAAGAAAAAATATAGGTTAGGGCCAGAGTGATAGTACAGGGGTTAGGAGCTTGCCTTGCAATGGCACTGACTCCAGTTTGATCCCTGGTATCATATAGTTCCCCTTAGCGCTGATGGATGTGTCACCCCCAACCCCCAATTGTTTTTATACATTAAAGTCACGGTCACAGGCCTCCCGTTGTTCATCAATTTGCTCCAGTGGGCCCAGTAACGTCTCCATCATGAGACTTGTTACTGTGTTTGGCATATCTCATTCTTGCTTATGTTATTTATGTCTTCATTAAAAAACGTTGATTAGCTGTGTTGAGCTCAGAACCTTGCTAGCGCTCAGCAGTGGAGCAGCAAATCTCTGCATTAAGAGTTCACAGTTCTGGGGGCAAAGCTAACAAACAGACAATTACAGTTACATGCGAAAAGATATAAATTAGATATGTGTATCTTGGAAGCTCTGGGGAGGAAGAAATGGGAAGTTTTTGCTACGCTTCAGTGAGTGCAAAACCACAGTTCTGTTGATTAAAGAGGCATACTTCATTTCTACCCCTGTCCATTTCCCTGTGTTTGTGCTGTTTTAAAGCAAGTGCCATATATTTTACTCACTGTTATTTCAGCATGTTTCTCACAGGCAAGGCATTTAAAAATAATAAAATCATCACATCTTTAATTTTAAAAAGTACTTCGTGTTGAACTCAATTGGAAGGGTGAGTAATGACTAAAATGTTCAGTCGGTGGCTGAGGAAGGGGACAGCAGTGTGTCATAGGGAAGAAGGGAAAGATCTTCACTTGAAATTAGGTTCTAGCAGTAATTTGGAGGAAACTCCCTCATGCCATATTTATGATATAAGTAGAATTTGGATTAAGTTGTGGTTGAAGAAGAGGGAAGTTCGAAACACTCTCTCTGGTGTTTGACCGGTGCGGCCAAGCAGAGAAGCACATTTGGACATGCTGGATGTCTTTCTGCAGGTATTTCTAAAATGTGAGAAGTCTTGTTTACTGAACCAAGGATATTTTAGAGATTTATGTTGAACGAGCGTAAAGCTTGTTTCTGATAACATTTAAACAGGGTTTTTTTTTAACTCCATCTAACATTTTTCTTTACACTGAAAAATTTTTTTAATATAAAATTATCTGAAATTAGAGTTTTCTGTATGTAGGACTGGAGAGATAGTGCAGCGGTTAAGGTTCTTGCCTTGCCTGCTGGTTTGAATCCCTGCATAGGTTTCCCTTGAGCCCAGAGCCAAGAGTGTACTGCTAGTTGTGACCCAATAATGTTCTGGATGTTAGTTTATACCCAGGAAAAAACTCCCAGATAAGTTAAAGCTGTTGTAATCTTTTACCTTGTACCACCACAATAACATTGGGTAAAAGGTCTCTCTACAAAACCTTCCAAGCAATCGGAGCTTTGCATTGGCCTTGTGGCTAGTATTTGTTGGTTCTCTGCTTGAGACTTTGAATCCTCTCGCAACTTGCCCTTTGAAAAGGTCTGTATTTACCTTGTGAGATGGTTGGGGGTTTGGACGACAAGAGTGAGGAAGAGAAAAAACTTGCTTCTCCGTTTAGGATTTTACAGATGCAGTGTCTGAAAACAGCGCCTGTGCTTCCTCGGCCAGCCTTCTATTTCACGCTCCCCCTGCTCTTCACTGCCTGCGTGAATTTGCTCTAGTTACCTACTTCAGTTTGACTTTAATTTCCCTATTTTGAAATAGCAGTAATGAGGTAGCAGCAGGGCAGACACCCTACCCGCTGAACTTGCCTGCCCTGGCTTGCCTTTTTATTCATTTGGGGGGTGGGGGGCACACATATTGGTGCTCAAGGCCATAGGGAGTGCTGGGGATCAAACCTGGGTCGGCCATGTGCGAGGCAAGCACCCTACCTGCTGTGCTATCTCTCAGGCCCCATCATTTTTAAAAGTACTCATTTCCTCTTCCCTCCGTTGCCATAATGGTGATGCCTGGAGGAGCCTTCACAGCTTGGGTTTGGTCAGCCTTGTTCACAGTTAGCCATGTTTGCAGCAAGGTGCACACTTGAGGTGACGTTACCTGGAAGGCACACTCATGTCGCTTGTTGGGCCTTCTTAGTTGTGCGCATCAGAGGTGGCTCACTTCAGGTGCAGAGCTCCCACATACCTGGCTCTGTGCCAGACTTCACTGAGGCTGCCAGACGCAGAAGGGTTCTGGACCATGCTCAGCTCATTATGGGAAGAACCTCATGAGGATCAGACTCATGGCCTCACACTTTGCAGGGCAGGTGTTTCAGCCACTGAGCCATATTCTAGGCCCTCTTGTGCTTTAAAATTGTGATTAAAATACACTCAAAATTATATTGACTTTGTGGGACAGGTGCCACACTAGTTGGCGCTCGGGCCTTATTTCTGGCTCTGTGTCTGGGGGGGTCACTCCTGGTGATATTAAGGGGACCATATGTAGTGTCAGGGTCCAGATGATGTCAGCTGTACTTGAGGCAAACACAGCCCCTGTATACTCTCTCTCCCCTACCTTAAGCTTTTTAAAGTACAGAACAGTTCAATGTCATTAGGAACTGTACAGTTAATCACCACTCGTGAAAGATCAGTTAACAAAACAGGAAAGAGGCTTTCTCTAGTGGAGATTGTATTTTAGCAGAGGTATACAGACATAAACGAGTGATTCAGAATAAGTGGTATGTCCTTGCGGAGAAAGAAGAGAGTTTAAAGAGTATTTTGTATTACAAGTGTGGTCAGGGTTTGCTGAGAACATAACATTTGAGCAAAAATTTAATTTTGAGGTATCTGAGAGACATTAGAGACATCTATAAGTAAGTTTGGGAGACCAGATGGGCAGATGTGAATTTTGGAGTTACGGGCATAAGATGAAATTTAAGCTGTAAGAAAGTGAGAGCAGGGGCCGCAGCCATATATAACGGAAACGGCGCTTGCCTTGGACGCAGCTGACGGCACCACCATGGTCCCGTGAA